CGTAATCACGCTGGCCGAGCATGTTATCGTCCATCGAGTAGTATTCACAGAAATCGTGTGCGAAAACGCAATGCTGCGCTTGCAAGCACGTACCACGCAGCCAGAAGCGGCACGTGATCTTGTTCGTATCGTGCAGAAACTACAGCCACAGGCAAGCCAACGTGAGCCAACAAGAGGAGGCAGAAGCTTGTGAGCAACCACTACGCCACTTCTGTCTCCTAAAGAGCCCAAGTCTTATCTCGCAAATGACAGACGCACCATGCAGTCTGCGCGACGACACTCGCCCTGCAAGTAGTGGCGGCACACTTGGCCGGGACCAACCGACTCGCGCTCGATCGTCGCCTTCAGCACGGCATGTGCCCTATCGACATCCAGTCCTAGAAGCCGCAGGAGGTCGCACAGTCGGTTCGGATCGATGTCCGGGAACTTGAGTTGCAAATGGTTCACCAACTGCCCAACACCACCAGAACACAACATACTTAGCACTCCCTGTCCTCCTACTTGACCTACCGCACAAAACAACCATTGACCAGGAGCACAGCTTTTTGATCCTAACAAACTAAAAGTGGCGCCCATGGTCCCCAGTCAAAGCCAGTCCACTCTACCTCGTAGGCCACGGACCAGAAGAAGCTGTCTTCGTTCTGCATCACCGCCCCGTCCTCTTTTTCTTCACTTTGCTCATCTTCTCCAGAATTCACCTCCTCGTCCTTTTCTCCATAACCCTCATTGTTGTGCAAATGAATTTCCAAAGGAAGAGAAGATAAAGCTGACTGCGCTTCTTCACGAAACCCAATCTCTGGACTCGCCGTCGGGTGGAAATCCGCCACAATCGGTGACAGAAACTTCCGAGGTACAAAAGTAGGAGCCGAAGCTTTCAGCTCTTCCTCGTACTCCAGTATCCGATTGATATCGTCCTCAATCTGCTTGTCCTCATTGCTCTGTATCGCTAACGCCATTGCCGCGTTCGTAAGCTCCGTCGGGTTGTCTGCAAGCTTGACAAGCTCATCTACAAACTCCTGTGCACGCTCCTTATACATAACCCCACCAAAAGTACGATTAGAGACAACAACTGTGTCCAATTAAAGCGGTCGAAACGAACAAACCTCGTCTTCCGGGGCGAGCCAGCCCATAAGCACCTGATGGATGTTGAACTTGGCGTCCTCCACGTTGTCATCATCACCACCATGAGACGGCAACATACCCACAATATAAGGTGCAAACACACCGTCAACACCTAATGCCCCGAGTCGCGCTGTCGTCCACATCTCTAGCAATTGCATCGCTATACTCTCGAGTACTTAATTCCTAGCAAGATGGCGTAAAAATGGGAATAAAACAACACATGCAGTGATTAAGGCTGTATGACAGGTTCAGAACTGAACTTGTCTTGAAAATATCATGTCAGTAGTATTATAGTATGAAAGAAGTACTTAATGGTCTAATATTAGAGAACAAGCCGATAAAGCTTCCCTAAAATCACTTTATTGCTTCTGCTGGCCAATATTGCAAGACACAACCACACACTGACGGAATTCCAATACACTGCATATGTATCTTTGGAGCTCCAGAACTTGTTGAGCTACTGGATCCGCTCCTACCCATCTCAAAATTTTCAGCTTTCTATCATATCGGATGTCGCTGGGCCAAGCAGTAACAAAATTTGCCACTATCGAGTACATGCGATTTGTACGCTATATATTGCACCAGTTATCTGCTTGCGATTGTTGAACTCATGATACACGCCAATATCTTCAATACCCTTCACAATGTTTCAGATTAAATGCAGTAGTAAGCACCCCCTGGGCAGTAAAAAGACATTCTTACGAGTGTCAGAGGAATGTTGGTGGCCCTATATTGGTGGGTAGCAAACTATATTATTTCTGCGAAGGGTATCAGCGCATTATGTAACGGGCTAAAAGTTACACGGTTCGTTAAGTATAGAATACTTAACGGGCAGGCTGCCTGCCATTACATCAATGTGACCCACCCTCGTGAATGTGATATCCATGGATGGATTCACATTCAACGGGGATGACGCCAGTTGGGACTGGGCGTCATGATGACGCTTTAGAAAGACGTCATTAGCGAGCTTAATTATATGTTAAGCTCGCACGCACGGATACGCTTCTAAAGAGACGCGTATCCAATACTTATATTTTGACCACTCAGTACTAATATTTATATTTTTATTACCTTCTATAAATTATAAGTCTGTCTTGAATTAACTACATCAGCTCAGAAAGACTAAAAACAGCTTCCGCGACATATTTGGTGTTTGTTTTAATAGTTCGTTGCGCGGATCGTTTGAAGCAGCCTGCAACACTTGGCTCGGCGCTTTATGCAGCCGACCAACACCACCACCACCGCGCGCGGAGGTAAGATGTTACAACCGCATCCTCGCGCTGCTTTAAGGTGTACCTGCTTAGTACATGGCAGCTCCTTTACGAAGCGACCGCCCACGCATTAAGCATGTCCCGTCTAGCAGTGCGCATTGAAGCCCATACCGATACCATCTAATTGCTGGAAGTCGGTCAGTCTGGATTTCATGTTTGGTCTACCGCCTAAACATAAGAGCAGGACAGAGCTCATCTTCTCTATAGACAGACTGATCAAGATGGTGCATTTGGCACCATGTAGCACTAAGATCTCAGGTAAAGAGGCTGCGCTCTTAATTTCTGGATCATATGAATCGACTACACGGGATGCGTGTAGAGAAACCATATACTTCAAAAAGGAAGTATATGACAAGATCATATGCTTTTCCACGTGAGCTGAGATTGTTATGTAGTAAGACGCCTCCCTCTTACCCTCGCGAACATTCGCCCAGCAATTTTTTTTGCTTTGCATACCTGATTGTTGCTAAAATGGTTCGACGCATTAAGTAAATTTTGTTGATCGCAGTCAAGTGCTTGCGCCAGCGAGCGCGTCGATGAACTTCGGAGATAAACCTTTCCCGGTCGCAGCAACTGTCCTATCGCAGCAACCGTTGAGTTGTCGAAACTGACGCTATTATATATATGTTGAATGCTGTATAGTTGTATGCTGTGTACAGGAATTCGAGCATACAAACTCGATACGCATTTCACGCTGTTCAGCGCTTTATGTAAAAGAAGAGAGCTTCCTCTAAACTCGCTCTGTTCTGTACGAGAGATTGGAAACGCAACGCGTGTTGCAAGATGCACTGTACAGACTTAATGAGATCATATACTTCTCAACAAATAACCAGTTATTCCATTTCTAACGCGTTCCTAATCGCCAGAAAGAGCTTCTATTGTCTACGTCTCCGCCAGCACATTTGATTTTCTTGCGCATTCATCGCTAAAGCTGGATGGGATCATCAGCAGTATAAGTGCATATTTAAAGTTTTGTGTCTCGCATTACCATTAAATGCCATTGTGAATACTATCGTAGCGGATAAGATTCAGCGATATTATCATACAAGCCAATATTGTCGTTGTACAGTATCTCATCATAGTTGGAGATATCCCTGCAAACTGGCTGGTATAGGCCATGATATCAGCCAACGCGCTGGCCAATGAAAAATGGGTGCGCGCAATGAGTGGTAGGCAGAAAGCCAGCATACATGTACGTAGTAACATATTGTCGAACTAAATTTCAGATGATTAATTTTTAAGCACAATTTAACTATACTTACAACAGTTCTCATTTTCGTACAAATAAGCGTGTCCGTCTAGTTGTATTGCTTCCTCTGCCGTGACAGTGTATGTGAGGCAATGGGGTACCCCTGTTGGCGTTAAAAAAATGCTGCTACTGCCTTAACCTCAGTTCATGCCCACGCTAGCGACTTGTTTAAAGGCGCTACTACCTTTGGTCGGGTACTCTCATTTGATCCACACGAAGCTGACTCGATTGTTTCGCCTTTCCCAGCATCTCTATTGCAACGAAGACTAGCAGGAGCGCAGAGATTCGACCGCACGACGCACGCCATAATAAAAAAATACGGATGCCATGATGCTTCCGCCAGGCTAATTCTGGAAGTCGCCCTTGCTGCTTTTCCTCGTCGCTGACCTAGTGGAAAAGGTATGCCTTGTGCTTCAGCTCTACGATGGTGTTGAAGTTTCTGACGAGCTGGAAGACAGTCGCATTAACGCCTTCGCCCTCGTCTGGGTCCATGTCGTGCATCTACGTGTCGCCGACACTTTTGACACGTGTATTTTGCGGGGCGGCAGTGGTAAGACGTTATCGACACTGAGAGCAAGAGCGAAGCCGTGCCTGAACATAAAATTATTGAGGTTGTTCTTGGACGCCGTAAACATAGTCTGATGGACGCTAAGCCTTACCAAACGGTTCTTCATGATCGGACCCGACAGCGCTTCTTTTGAGTGAATGTCGTGCAGCACGAACTTATCGTCGCAAATGAGGGGAATGATCGTCTCGATGATCGCGATCCGTGGGGGCATCCTTTGGCATCGTGATGGCCTCCTCGTTGTCCACATTATTGATCGGGGGAGGCAAAGATATTTAGCGATACGACGGCGCCAGAACACCATCTTATTAAGCTTAGGATGATAAAACTGCACCAGTGCCAGCGTCTCTTGCTGAAATAAGCCCAAAAAGAATTTAATGAACTACTTCAGCAGCGTATGCCTATAGGCATTCACCATGGACACTTTGTTCTTCGGCTACAGGATCTGCACGACCTCGTCGATTAGTCTAGCACGCTGCGCAGGCAACGGAGCAGCGAGCTCCAGCGCGTCACAATCTCCTGCTTGAGCGTTTTGCTGTGTTAAGTTGATAGGTTGAAGTGCTTGCAATACTCGACTAGAGTTTTGGTCTAGTCGAGTAACTTGAATAGCACGGCCATGTTGAGCATGTCCTTGTACTTAAAGATTGGCTTGCTCTTTGCGACATTAGTGATCATTGACTTCTTGTTCACAACCGTCGTCAGGAAGGTCGCGAGCTTGTGGTCAAGGCAGGCGCACCAGAAAACTCAGCTGGTATGCCGTCGGCAGCGCAATTATTGGAGCATCTGTCCGAGATCACGATAGTTTGTCGAAGACGTCCTCACGAAACACGCACACGGCCAAGCCAGCTTTGAATCCGTCCAAGACCATGACGGCCGTGTGGCTCGTCTCGCGGTTCGGCCCTAAGTGCAGCGTACGGACGTTCAGGTTGAACTTCTCGTCGATGGAGTGGATCGTGATGGACATGTACGACGTCTTCTTGACCGAGTCAGTCCCCAGGTTCAGTGTGAAAGCGACGACGATACCTGACTTGACGTGGCGCTGCAGCACGAGCATCAACGCGTTGCGACCAGTCATGGCTCGCGACTCGACATTCCGACGAGCCGTGATCGGGTTCGCGAGCAGCTCATTCACGTCGACTCGGGCACTGGACGCGACCCCGATGTCGAGCGCGGTCTGAAGTAGCGCCTTGAGGCCGTCCCCGCTTCCGACATGAACGCGCGCATGGTGGTCAAGCAAAAGTCGACATTAGCAGCAGCGCCTTCTGTGAGTTGCGTGATAACATTTTTTAAAACATTTTCCGGCGCCGAGCAATATTGCAACGGCGCAGATGTGCTTGCGCAGCGTAATCGTACCGATGAAAAGGCGGCCTTGATCCGACTTAAACGCGAACGTCTTGAAGCAGGTCTTGCAGACCACAAAGGGCTGCTTAGCCCTAAAACTAGCGGTGTGAACGATCTCGAATGTTTTCCATATGTCCGACGCACTTTTGATATAATTACAAATATAAAAGTCCGGGATATTCTTGTTGCTCTTCAGCTCTCTCTCGATGATTTCCTGGATCGACGGCATGGCAGTAGTTCTGCTTTTTCCAAATAGTTTGCATAGTGCTACATAATATAGAATAGTGTCTCATATATAATTGTTCTGTATAATGTAAAAAAGTCAAAGCTTCGATTGGATAAAGTTATATAAATACCTCCTCTTAGCCTGCTTCGTCAGGTAATCAGCAAGTTGCATAGCTGACGGAACATGTTTGATCAGGATATTGCCTTGCTCATGTGGTCTCTATCAAAATGCGTCCTAAAGTTATGTGTACTATAGTCGCGGTCTTACATGTCACACCCATCTCGTCCAGCAAATAACGAAATCACATAACCTCTTGCGTAGCTAGTGCCAGTGCCATAAATTCCACTTTAGCAGAGAAAAAAGTCACCGAACTTTTGAATTTGCTTTTGTATACGACAGCTGCACCTCCAAGTAAAATCAACACACCAGACGTAGATCGACGAGTCTTTATATCATTTTCCCAATTTGCGTCACAGTATGCCCAAAGCATCACATTTTTGTCTTCCGATCTCTTATACGTAATTTTGCGCAATTGTGTTCCCATGAGAGAGTGTAAAACGCGTAAAGCCACACGCCGTGCATCTGTCGTGGCTGGCCCAAGTACTGACATCGCGTAGCTTATGTCGGGTCGCGTTGCATTCGCAATATACAACAGCGAGCCGACCAATTTGCGATACGAAGTGATGTCCTTAACCACTGGGTGTGATTCATCCGGAGTTAGGTCCTGTCCTGGGCAGATAGGGTTACGAATTGCATAAGTTCCATTTTTCTTAAACTACGAGACCAACTTCATAATAAATTGGTGATCAACTCCCCCTGTCTTGTAAGTAATTTACTTTTATGCCCAAAATAAACCGCGCAGCTTCAAGCGATTTGACCGCAAAAATGCTCCGACAATTCCTCAAAATCGTGTCCGTCTCTGCATCAAACTTGCATCCAATAAGGAAGTCGTCCACATACAAGAATATGTATGTGGGTGACTTATTGCTTGCATGATTGCGTTGAACAAAATGACATGTGTCTGCTCGACATTGTTCAAAGCCCATGGCCAAAAACACAGAACATATTTTCTTGTGCCAAACCGCAGCCGCTTGTTTCAACCCATATAAGCTGCGTCGTAGTTTGCACATCATTCCAGATGCAATTTCAACTCCATAAGATGCCTCCATGTAAACGTCTTCTTCCACATCGCCATTCAAAACGCCGTTTCCACGTCTAATTGCCGGATCGCATATTGCAACAAACAGACAAAAACACACGAATCGTGCTGGGCATGCAACATAACGAAGATATTAAACCATGCGTTTGCAGATATCCGAGGGCAACCAAACGCGCTTTGTAACGAACAATTTTACCGTTTTCATCGTACTTGTGCCCAAATACCCACTTGTGACCAATGACCTTGACAAATGGAGGATGGTAGACAGCATCCTATGTGTGGTTCTTAAAAAAAGCATTAATCTTTGCTTTAATTGCTGCTTTCCATTTTTCTGCGTCCATTGACTGTAACGCCTCTCGTAAATTCGTCGGTACATCAGTAGCAGAAAGTGAGATTTCGTGATCGTCAACACAGTGACGTTTAGGGTCCGGCTCATCTTGTTCGCTATTCAAAGGAGATCCATTAGCCAGAAGCTGCAGTTTAATCCTTTCATCGTCAAAACTATCATTCGTGAGTAGACGAGATGACGTGAAGTAACCATAAGGCCTTTGTTCGACCCCGAGTATATCTCCATTCGATTATCGGGGGGGGGGGGGGAATTCTCACAAAGTGCAATAGCTCGCGATTGAACAGGTTTTTCTGAGAGCATGTGTGTACCATTATTGCTGTTTCTAGCGACAATTTCGTGTGGAGTGCGACGTATCATTTATTTGTTTGTGTCAATGACTTGTATTTGTGTGCGCTCCCCCACAATCAAACAAAATCTAAGTTGTGTGACTGATTGAGATCTTTAGACGCATCCAAAACCATGTCTTCCCAACTAGTATCATTATCAGCAGTCTCATCAGCGTCCATATCGTCATCATCGTGATTCTTGTTCGAATTAAGTATTACCACCTTTACTTCGCCTGAATCATCATTAAAATGTTTGAATTAAGCAATTGGTCGCATAATATTGGTGTGTACAACCTCAAGTGGTCGACTTGTTTTACATTCACTTCCTAAAGTATGGCTGAACGAACTGTTTGTCATTTTTTCGCCGTCACATCCATCACATACACCGCCATCAGATGTAACAAATCTCGAAATACCATCGCACGACTTCATCGCTTACATAATCCTGTTCGTAGACACATGACTGAGGCGATTGTTCCATAGTTAGTGTCATTTATCGCACCACTGCTCTCAGCCTTGTGCGCTTCTAATGTGATATGTTTATTCCCATTCCACGCAAACAGCTTTCCCGCTCGTTTAATTAATACTACAGTCACAAGTTAAATAATCCTCTAATGAAACTGCTTCTACAACAATGGCATAAATGCGTGATTTACCCCACAAATTTCACTACTTGCCCATTAAAACACCTTCTTTTTTAATAAACATTGGTGTTTGATTTAAACGTCCTGAACAGGCATCCAATTTAATACCTAATGATGGGATAGCCCATGAATGTACTGTAAAACATTAGAAGCAGTAATTAATATTCTAATATGACGATTAGTGGGAGCTACTACACGATTATCTACTTCTAAAATCGGAATTGGCCTATAGCTAAATCATCTTCTTGTACCATATGACTATATAAAAATTAAAGGCTCATCTTAAAATTATAAATTTTCTGAATATTCGTAACTCCAATACCATTGATTTCCAATTACTTTTAATGTGATAATAGCATCAATTACCTCATTCATTGAGTATAATAACGCAAAAGAAGGTACTGCAACCATTAATGAAATTAAAGCAGGAATAGAAGTCCAGATAATTTCAATAGTAGCTCCATGTACGATTGTTGCTGGAATTTCATTTTTTTACAGTAATCAAAAGAGTAATAATTCTAAATAACATCCAGCAAACATATACAGTAACGATAATAAAAAAATTAATTCATGATGAAAGTTAATAAAACCTTCCATAATTGGAGTTGTTGGGTCTTTTATTAAGACTGCTTGATCTTGCTTAAACTGAACAAGCACGCCTCGGTCCGTTAACGCTGCTACAGACAAAGTTTTCTTGTCTAGCCCAGGCACATTTAACACCTCCGTAAGTTTGACTGTGCGACCATTCTCGAGTATAAATCGAACTATGCCTATTATTTGTACCTTCAACTGATGACCATTGGCCACAGTGATGTAAATTGGGGGTAATTGAATCTTCATATCCACAAAGTTCACGCTTGTCATTGTCATATGACGACTTGCCCCACTATCCAGCAAACAAGTCGAGCTCAAATTATTTTGTCACTGAATGCCGAAAAAACACTAGATCACCAGATCTCGATGGTTCCACGTTACGACACTCCGATAATTTGTGTCCGTGCCGTCCACATCCAAAGCACTTGCCTTGAAAACTCGCATTAGCCTGTCCTCGTCTAGAAGGTTGCTAGCGATCTCAATTTTCATCTTGTCCACGGTGTCCTAGGTTACCTTGAAAGCGTCGAGATTTATTACGCTGAGCATCTGCTATTAAAGCGATTTCTTTCTTTTCTCGCTTCTGAATAGTGTCATACTTTCGGTGGAGCATCTCTTTTGTGTCCAACAGTGTCACGTTGCTGAGCGCCTTGATGATGCGCACCAACCATATTAGAATGATAAACTTCCCAAAAGCAAAACTAGCTTTTCATCATCATCCATGCTGTCACAGGCAGCTCCGAGCTTTAGACACAGCTCATCAAATTTTAGTAGATGGTCCATAAGACTCGCACCAGTCTCCATCACAAATTCATGTAATTCTTTCCGAAGTTGCACTCGGTTGTGAAGATTTTCTTCGCAAAGGACGTCTTCAGAACCTTCCGAGCCTCAATAGCAGATTCACATCCCCGAACCATGCACTGATAGTCTGGAGAGAGTAGCTTCACCAGTACAGCCAGAGCCTTCATATCGGCGACTTTCCATCCGGGATTCTCCCGCAGCACTGCCGGCTCTGGCTTAAATAAAACGGGATCCAAAAAATCCTTGCGCGCGATTGTCATGCGTGCATTAAATTACCTTATGAAGTAATTGTCATCCGTGAGGATGTCTTTAGGAGCTAAAGTATTTGGGCTCGTAACCTGTGACGAAAGCTCAACTGCTTCTCTGTGCTGCCAAATTAAATTTAGTATAAAGAGCTAAACTACTACTAAAACAAATGTATAAATTTCCTCATAAACTGTTTAATCAATCCAGATCATTCGAAGACCACTGTCCATGTAAGTTGCCGTTTACAATACACACATATCAATGTCGTAGTTTGTAATCCTCTACAACCACTAAATCACCTACTGTCCCTAGCACTCACTGCTGCTTTTATTTAAGTAGGAATAGTGCCAGAAAAGGTTTGATACGGCCCATAGTGACAAAAGTGGTCTACT